GGGGGGGGGGGGGGGGGGGGGGGGGGGGGGGGGGGGGGGGGGGGGGGGGGGGGGGGGGGGGGGGGTAAGATTGTTGTAGCGGGCAAGGACGCTGGTCGAGTTGGCCTGTTTGGGGAATCCTCTGTCAGGTACACCAACCCCCATGCTTTTGGAACGTGATCTCCAACCCGTGGATGGAAAGGTTGCTGGAGGGCGTCTTGCGGGTCTCCTGGTGCTATTTCGTCGTCAAGCACTGCGGTGCGTTGGGCGATGATACCGTGGGGGATCTTGTGGTGTGGTGTGTGGTGAGGAGGATGCTACGCGGGCGTGCCGCAGGCGGCGATGGGACGCAACACGCTAGATATGGTACGGAACGGGAGAGGAGCGGGATGGCGGTGTTTCGGAAGGAAATGGCGATGGGAGCCGGGCGACAAACGCTACGGGCGAAACGCAAGACGGCAAAACCCGACAAAAGTAGAAAGGAAATTACATGTACCATAAAAAAGAAATGAGATACTTGGACCCATAGGGTTCCCGATGGAACAGGCGGGGATGGGGGGTTACAAGTGGGCAGCGAGGGAACGAGGGTGATGTCTTTGTGGAGGCCGACGAGGCACGCGTTCGGAGACACGACGTGCGGCGACACCGCCTGTTGGTTTGCTAAGACTTCTCTTTGCGGCTTGGACACGGCAGGCGACTAGGGAAGGATGGAGTTGTTGTCTTGTTTAGGGTGTCGTTTCGTCGACTGCGGTGGAATACAACGGGGGTGGGTTCCCAGCTGAATTTTTGCGGGTGGTTCTGTTGGAATGGCACGACCCTGCGTCGTCGTCGTTGCAGAATCTATTCAACTGATCGGGTACTCTTACGGGGTCCCGTGCATGGAAAACTTGATGTAGAACGTAGCACGTGAGGTCGAAAATGCCGAGTGACAGAGAAGAGCGTAAACAGCTGCTTTCTTCAAAGCACAAATGCGATGTTGGTTTCTGCAATTCAAGTGGGAGGACCAGTGCTGTTTGTTTGTTATCGTGAAGGCCGTAGTTGCGCGGTCAGCGTCAGGCGGAGCACTGCGTTTCTATTCATAGAACTTTATTAATTTTTTTCTTGTGCCGAAACAAGTTTATCAAAAGTTAACTGTATCATATGCATCGCGGTCAGCAACAGCGTTTGTGCTCAACTTTGCTCGTGGTGTTTCTTGTGGCGTCTTTTGTCGATGAGTTATGCTACGCCGCGCAACACCTTCGGTGTTTTTCTGGGATAGATGATGGTGATGTTTGGTCGTGTCGATGATGGTTTTTTTTCGTTTCCAGCGTCATGAGAAGCCAGTGAGCGTTTACGAGTAATGCTTTCTGCGGTGGTATCATAGGTTCTGCGATGATGGCGATCCGGGATAAGTGGCCGCCTGTCTGCTCTGCTCGTTGCGTGCCTGGTTGTGGTGGCACCATCATGCTCCTCGCTGTTGTTTCTGACTTGTGCGTGTGTGTGTCGATGAGGTGTCGGGTGTTTCCTTCTCCGCGGTCGAGGTGGTTGCCCTTTCATTGGCCCTTCGTGCATGTTGCAGTATATTGCGGTGGGCCCTCCCATCCAAACGGCACACACAACACGCACACGCTTGCTTCGTTCCACAGAAGAAGCCGTGCTGGTCTGTCCACTGATGATGTATGCGGCTGTTGCATGGGCTCTCGGTGTTGTGTACTCCACGAGACGCCACCAGCCATGGCTTGGGCGAGCTGGGGGGGCTGGGGGGCACACAGACAGCAGTCGCGTTGTTGAAATGCGTGGCGGCAGTATGTATTTTGGTGCATGGGAGGGTGGAGAACTGACTCTGTTCCCCCCCCCTCCCCTCCCGATTCCAGAACAACAGTCTATTTTTCCTGTGCCGTGTTTTTTACGAGGGAGTTGCATGTGTAGCTCAACTTTTGGCGGTGCATGTCTTTTGCTGCGCGCTTGACGAAAGGTGTGCGGTGGCATGTCGGCGTGCACCTCGCAGGTACTCCATGCGGGAATGATGACGAAAATGTGACGCACGGAGGGAGAGCAACAAGAAAAAGGGGGAGAAGAGAAAAAAAAATGATGTTCGAGTTGGGTGGGGAGGGGGTGACGAGCTGGCGCTCGTTGAATGTCGTGTCGTACCGTATACAATAAAATGGTTGCAAGCACATATAATAGAGTACTTCACAAGTTTCTTGGAAGCACGGGCAGGGCGCTATTTGCAGGTGGTGGATGCCAAGGCTGGGGGGCGAGAGAGAGAGAGAGAGAGAGAGAGAGAGAGAGAGAGAGAGAGAGAGAGAGAGAGAGAGAGAGAG